AGCACCAGAAACAACGAAAACAACGGTATTTGCGACACTTTCTCAAAATCCCAAGGAAGTATCCGAGACAAAGAACTTGGACAAATCCATGCTCCCAAACAACCTCCTGTTCACGAAAACCACACGAATATCGACATTTTTCGGCTTTGAACCAAAAAACGTCCCAAACATCACCGACACACCCCGCGTGGCGGCAAACGCACGTGCTCCCTTGTTGTTGTTGTCGGAGTAGTAGTAAAAACAAAATAGTTATAGTAAACTTAAGTATGTGATAGTGGTAAGGTAAGAATAACAATAATCATGCTAACTATGATGACAACCATCATTGTTACAGCACGAAAAGCATCCTGTATACCGACGCACTATCTATTGTTACTACTATCATATCTCGACTGATGCTACGTGGGGTGCCCTTGTTTTTCAATGCACAGTCCGTGCATAAAGCTATTGCTGAAACGAGCAGCCATTTTTTAATGATTTTGAACTACAAAACACTGGAAATCACTAAGCAGCCGACGTTGACTTGCTGAGCAGAGTGCCCAACTGTGTATGACGAATGGGCGGGCAAAGAATCACAAAAAAGCGACATCTCTCCACGTAGGATGGAATACTCTGTATAGCTGCGGCGCGATGTTCCGCGTCTGTTAGACCTTGAGGGCAGCAAAAGTAGTCATACCAGAGGAAAAGCTTCTGCGAAACGATCTCCGAAACCTTCGCAGCAGATTGGCCCACGTAAAGCTCGATGACGATTCCAGGGGAGATGGAAGTGGTGACAGATTCTACGAAATTTTTGAGAGCTTCTTGCAGAACCCGAATCTGCTCAAACTGTGGGTCAGGGTGTCCAATCCCAGCCCACTGATGCGAAACGAACATTGCCTGACCCTGGCTCTCGTCGAAATTCACGAGAATGCCTTCATCCTTCAGGTCTTCCTGCGTCCGGATCTCGGTCATGTTGATAAAGGTTTCCAGCGGCACGGTGTACATGTCAAAATACTGCGGGGCGCTGGAGCTCCTCCTGTCAGAAACAGGAAGAAGGGCAGGCAGGAAGCATGCGTGAAAAGGCGGCCTGAGCTTCGGCTTTGTCTTTCGTAGGGCGGCCGCGTGCCGCTGCAATGGTGTGCATTCCTGACCGGTCATAGATGCATGAGCCAGGTGAGGGAGGGTGACCACCGCTACGGAGAAGCTGAAGCAGCTGTGAATAACGAAGCTCTGGCCTCAGGAACTGCACAACAAGCCATGGCAGGAACGGATCCACCCGGGAGAAAAAGAGGCCTTGAGCCGAAGCTTCCACTCGTCAATGCCGTGCCAAAAGCACGAACCGTGTGTTGAAGCCCTCTGAAGCGCAATGGGAAGCAGAATCTGACAGGCACAGCGAACCTCCATGAAGGCAAGGAGGAGAAAGAGGGCTCCCGATGCCTCTGAGGATTGCAGCCTCGGCTCAGCTTTTTTTTGCCTCAACGGGCCTCTCCGCAGGACTGTGAAACCAGCTGCACAGTTTAGGGTTCTGGTCCCCGCTGGCTTGCGCCTACGCCTAGGAACCAGGGCTGAGGCAAGGCCGGCCCGAAGAAGTTTGACTTGCGATGCCTTTCAGCAGCCATCCACACCTGCCCAGGATGACTGGTCAGTGCAGATACACATCCTGCCTCACGGCGTACTGACAGATGTCGAAGTTTCGAAGCCCAAGAAACGGCTAGTGGCTGGAGACACTTGCTTTGGTGCATGGCATTGCCTCCTGAGGGATCACAGCCTTCCTCTCCACCTACCGGATCACAAGTGGGAAGCACGATCAGAAAAGGGCGCTTTCCATGCTTGCAACAGGTTTTGGAACTCGCTGAGCACCTGTCTGCTTTCGGCATTCTGATTTTTGGTACGACTTCTTCGGACTGCGGAACTGCACGCACCTGCGGAGACTTGGGTCCAACGTGTGGTGAAAGCTTTGACTGCATCTTCGGAGTAGACCTGACAAAGGTGCTGAAGAAGAGCACATCAGTATTCTACTAAGTCCTGGGCATTTTGGGCTCTCGAAATGCTACAAGCGGCAAGGCGAACACCGTGTCACTGCGCAGCTTGCCACGAATTTGTGGCTCGTCAATGAAAGTTGAAGCAGGTTCACCTGATCTAGAAGAAGCTTCAACCACAGGGCAAAGGCCTCGCACTGGAGTTTGGCGAACGCCTGGCACAGCAGACTTCAGAGCAAAGCTGTGATCTCTCAGGTTGACTGTGACCACTCTTGTAACTTGTAACATCTCAATCGGAGTAAAGTGCAGTTTCATTCTTTCCTTGTGCGTGCTTCGCCCTCCCACACTCTCCTCAACTCCTCTTTGGATGGCTAAATGCGCATGAAGCAGAATAGAAACACTTAGTGCAGCACCGACTTTTGCACACTTTGCCAGCAGAGGCATCCGCACTCTGATTGGCCTGGAACTAGCCAGCAAAGCATCATGCTACACGACTCATAGTCGCACTGAGAAATCGCATCGTGTGGGCCGCCTAGCTGAAAGGTCTTTGCTCATCATTCGTGACCAAGATCCACGCTGGTGGCGTGATGTCTGCGGAAGGAGGTAGCAGCACGTTCTCCAAGCCTGGGTTCAGCAGTCTGGAGGTTCCCCCGTCAGTGCATCGCGAGAAACGGTCCAGTCGTGGCTGTCCGATTGTGCCCACCTGTGCCCTAAACCCGCCAAAAAAGCTTACACAAGCCTTGAAAGCTGTCCAGCTGTGCCCACCAGAGGACCTAAACAAGGTGAACCCGTAAATTGCTGAAAACCCTACGGAGCAGGCCCGCAGGGTGTCCGGCTGTGCCCGCCAGAGGCCTCACCGGAGAGCTGCGCATCATAGCGTCCGGCCACGAGCTCCTTGCAGCATAGTATTCACGCTATTATTACTGCTTTGTGTCTTATTCCTATGCATATTGTTACTCTTACTATAAAGGGGTTTAGGGATTGGAAACCTCGGTGACCGGAAAGGATTGCGACTCTCACACTCGCACTTAGCAAGGAACGGATCCACGATGGTTCTGAAGCGCAGGCAGCAGACTATCCCACGCAACCCAGACAAGTCCCCAGAGCTTTTTCTTAGGCTTCACAGTCATGGAACATTGAGATTCGAACTTCCTTGCAAGTTTTCGCTTGCAAGTTGTTACAAGCATTGTTGCTCCGCAGGCGTGCGTGGAAGAGGGCTGCGTCTGAAAAGGCATTCGTCCCGTTGTCTCGCTGGTCAGTCTCCGAGCTTACACCGTGTAGGCTTGTGTTGATCAAAAGCTCAAAAGTCGTGACATGGTATTTTGACGGGAAAGGCCTTTGCAGGCCAGGTTCTGTGCGCACATGCTCGAGCCGGACAACAGATACAAGAGTCTGTACACATGTGGCTGCAGGCCCCGTGCACTCTTCAGTGCACAGTTGACATCTCTGCAGAGAGGCAAAAAAAACCTAAGGCCAACTATCCATCCGCAACGTCTCTCCACGAATTACCTCAGACCAGGGCTTGTTGTTGCCTGAGGGTTCCTGCGCCGGGTCCTTGGTGGTGAGGAAATCGCAGACCATGAACCTGTCGCCTGCGTCATCGTAGAGCCCACAGTATGCGATGACCGAATTGCGGGGATACTCGCGCTCTCCTTTACCTCGACCGTTCCAGGGCTCGTTGTCGCAATAGCAATTGGCATCCGAAGTTGTGTAGGGGCCCACCTTGGCTTGGAGGTCATGGTTGCAGACCCAATTCCAGACCGCACCGACGAAGTAGGCTAGGGTATTTGGCTTGCCACCGTACGGGTGCTGTAAGCCGTTGTAGCCAGCCTGGAAAACACCCTGCTGGTAGACATTGGACAGCGCTTCCTTCATTTCTGAGCGATAGTCCCCTCCGGCTCCCGCCGGACCCATGGCTCCAACGCCCTTGTCGGAGGCGAATTCGATTCCTGCGGCGAAGTTAAACCCACGCCACCACCCACAGCCAGGTCCCTCGAAGGATCTGTCGAGGCCGGGAACATACATCGTTGGGCACTGCACATGATCCTTGCCGAAGCTTCCAACAAAGCAGCTCTGTTCACCCACCGGCGCCTTCTTCATGAAATGCTCGAGATAGAAAACATCTCCGCGACAGTCAGTCTGGATACCAGAGCCGTCGCAGCCATGCGCTACCCAGATATCCTCGGCTTTCCAGGTCTTCGCTGCGGGATCCCAAGCACGAAAGCCTTGGTATCCAAATGCATTCTTATCCGCAAAGAAGGGTGCCGAGTCGAAGTGCCCCGCATTTACCCATGAACAGTCCTTGTTGTCCACGTTCGGCATGAAGGCAAAAGGGGTGCAAGAGGCCCCATGCTGTTGGCACTGGGCGCCAAAGACCTGGCTTTTACCACAAGTCTCCGTGACCTGGTTGGATTCGATGCAGCCTTCCTTCCTCTGATCTTGAGGATTCCAATACACCAAATCGTCACAGCTATGGGCGACTGGTGTCCCTGAACTCGACTGCGCCAGGAAGCCAGGACCACCTGACCTACCCTCGGAGGGCAAGGCCAAAAACCAGAGACCGAGGAGATGACCGGTGTTGAACCCACAACTTCTGAGAGCACATGCCATTTTCAGCAGAGTCCGGCTGAGTTTTGCGAGTTTCGGAGTGTGGGCCTTGTTGATGGAAATTGAGCCAAGATGGGGTTTCGGGGCGCTGTCGGACCATCCAAGGGTGTGCCGGAGAGCCTTCTTGAAGATCTGCCCAGTGCTGGCAGGTGAAGCTAGCTTTTCTTCCCTCACTCATGATGCTTCCTCCTCCTCATCCTCATGTTCATCCGCATCATCATTAACGTCAATTTTACTTGATACGGCATGTCGTTGCTGCTCCCCACCTCTTGGAACCACGTCCAGTGCATACCCAGGCTGGCTCGGAGGACCTCGACCTGTCAGCAAAGGCCCGGCTTGGGTCAACTGGCACTGCCTAAAACTACAGCGACCCATGGGCCCGGGGGGGCCCTGAGACTCGCGCCTCCCATAACTGAAACTGTTCACAACTGCGAACACCAGCATCGAGCGGAATGTCCCTCACCCTTTCTCCATCCGCGCAGGATATAATGTCGCAAGTTGGCGAGGGTGTCTTGCACTTTGAGTGCTAAAAGAGGACTCCTAGGGCAGCATGCACGGAGAGCTGTACGGAGCCAAGGACTCAACTTCGGGCTACAGGTCTGTAAGGTCTGTAGGATGTCTGTAGGGGTACAACTGGTGCGGTAGAGCTACGGCAACAAAAACAGCTCTGCCACCCACTTCCGCAGTGGAACCTCATCCCTCGCGGGCTGCTAGATCGGCATGTATCAGCTGAAAAATTGTCTCTCTTCTGTGCATGTACCAACTCATAGTTGCTTCGTCCATCTTGGCTAGCTTAGCTATGAGCAGTTCTCTTTTTGGACTGCTGTTTGATGTGAGGTCGGCTGGGACTTCTTGGCATTCAGCCGAGCTTGCCGATCTGCGCCTGCGGATATTGCTGGAATCGTGATCGGGTCTTGTGCGTAGAATCGGATCACCCTCAAGCTGCGTTGCAGACACAGGCACACATACACCCACAGAAACACACACACACTGACTCACTCACCCACACACATGGACGGCAAAAGTTGCTCTCTGGGTGCGCCTTCTTGGCCAGGTGCACTATGCTTTTGTGAAGCACCTCGGCGAGACAAGCTGACGGTGCATGAACAGCCTTGGAGGCTGGAACGTCGGCTTCCATGTCTCTCCAGTTCCAGGCCGCTGACCGAGTCCAACAGCCCAGCAACTGTGAAGATCCCGCCCACAACGGCGCAGACCTGGTCCGAAGAGCACCCTGCAAAACCAGGGACGTGGGAGGGTCGTCTGGGCCTTGCAATTACTCGCACATGCCTTCTAAAGTTTGGGCAGCACCTCCCTTCGCGTTGCCTGGACGACAAAGTGGGACAAGCTCTCCTGCACAGTTCGAACTCGTCGGCACATGGCGATGGTCTAGATTCCCGTGCAGCTTGCGGCGAGACTTCAGTTGTTGTGCTTTGCTGCATTGCGTCCTTTGTCTCCGTGTAGCGCACAGTCACTGGCGAGAAGTCGTACCGGAGATACAGTGACCTGACTCGGCTCTATCTCGAAGCGTCGAGACATGCTGAGACATAACGACATGTCAAGGCCTGGAACCTAAAACTGATGTTAAACAGAAACAATGCCTTCTATGACCGGGCGAGCTGCATCAGAGTGGGCAAACTGAATCATCTAGCTAAAACCCCACTCTACCCTGAAGATTCCAAGGCAAGGTGAACCCGTGCATGCATCAGAGCTCCCTGCAAGCTGAAATCATGAACTGTCTACCGCTCTTGGTGGCGAGTTTGCGAACTCCGAGTCCGACACGGCATCTGCTGGTTCACTATTTTGTTGGAATTTGCAGTAAACCTTGGGAGGTGATCAGCGACACAGGCCCACGCATACTCGCAGCGATGACGAGCTCACTTCAAACGTCTGTGCCCTTCCAGAGCCATGCTTGCAAGACGCTGATGAACATGTATCGGTGAGCCATCCAGCGGCACGTACGTGGTGGGAACCTCGATACAGGACGCATGTGAGCCAACATCGCGACGCTCCAATTCCGAGTCGGAGACCACTTTCGTGTAATACTCGTAGATCGCAGAGTCCACGAGCCCGGCGTAAGACCAGGATCCTGGAACCAGAGCAAAGGCCCCCTTCTTGGGGGCACGACTCCCGGAAATCGCTGTCTCTGCCAAGGTGCCAAATTTGGAATCGGTCTTCTCCTTGGGCCTTGGGACTTCCAAGCGTGCTTGCGAAGGCTTTTTTCAGCCCACAGGCCCAGGGTGCGGCTCGCTCTTCTCGTGTATCTGCACGACGCCATCGAGAGGGCTGACGATGCCGGTACCCTGGAAATTGTTCTTGACCTGCATGGACACATCAAAAGCAGTGACAGGGCACGTGACTTCTCCTCCTTTGGCTCAGATCCTGGCGTAGGTGATGTCGGTGTCCACGCCAAAGGAGATGTGGTTCACCTTCCAATGCAGAACTTTGTAGCAACCATCATTTAAAGGTAGCCAGCTTCATGGTGCTGCCTGCGACACAAATGCGGAACATGCCACTACGAGCTACTTTTGCATAGACGCCGTGGCCTTGTGGGATATGTTGAGGTTCTTGGTTTCCTGGAGCCGTTACGGAGCCACGAAGGGGAGGTGCTTCAGGTTTCGCACGAGCACACTAGCAGATCCCTCGGTCGTCCTGGTAAAGGGATCCGAAGAGGAAGGAGTGGCTGTAGGTGGACAGATGGAGGTTCCTGGCATCTGCTCGGTCGGGCCGTTCGGAGAGGAACCGGATGTGCCTGCTCATGTCATCTCCTGTATGTTGCAGGCTTTCAATAAGATCATGGCAGGCTTGCCCGGGAACTTTGTTGACTTTCACGAAGCCTGGCAAAAAGCAGTTGGCCGGGGCTCGGGGCTGAAGCACCACCATGTTTCGGCTCCACAGCTTCTGAGCTCCCCCATCACCCTCAACGCTTTGACTCTCCTGCTAGGCCTCGTATACGGCAGCCCTCGCCGCTGTTGATGCTCTTGCGGAGAGCATCAACGTCCTCGTCCAAGGGCTTTGTCCAGCAGAAAGCGGCTAGATGCTAATACAGCCAATCACTGAAGACTGTCCGTTCTTGAAGCGTGCACAATGGCAAAGCCGAGTACTCCAAATCCACTTGCGTCGACATCATCCTCTTGTCCGGATTGCACGAACACGTTATGACACCCTTATATTGGCTAGCAGATGAGGCGACCCTATTCCAGATGGCCTATTCTGGCATGGGAGCTGGCCTGGTTGCCATAGCCTAGACTGTAGTGCCGCGAAAGAGTGGATGACGCGCCGAAGTGGCTCGACCTCGCGGCCAAGGCTCATCATCTGCTGATAATATGAGTTACACCCGTCGGGTCTATCTGTCAGAGGTTTGGTAGTGCTTTGCAGAGAGCTAATCAAGCTCAGCGGCTTGATCTCCTGCGTACCTATAAGATCTCCTTTGGACGTGAGGCGGTCCTGCCCAGCAACGATGCGATTCCAGTCTCACTCAGTCTGATATGCCCTTGTGCGCAACACGGTGACTTCAGCTCAGGCCAAGCCGCGTCCGCTCAAGCTCTTGCAATCCTCCTATGCTGGCCCTCGATGCAATCAGAGGAACTTCGTAGGTTGAAGTCACCACCCGTCAGCCCTGAGCATCGCGTGATCCTTGAACAGGTTGCCGTGAGCATCAACCTTCACAGATGTCCAAGGCTGGTCGCCAGGCTGAACGGCAGATAGTGTAGACTCGAAGCGGTAGCAGCGGTAGCCTCATGGCTTCCCATGACGTCCTGCGCATCGAAGGAGAGCAGCCTCGGTCTATGAGAAACCTCAAACTCCTCTTCGGGAAGCTCACAGATGGGCCGTCTTCTTTCAGGAGCCGGGCTCACAAGGCATGGAGGACATCGTGATGTCCAAGTTGATCTGCAGCTTCTCCTCAAGCCAGCCATGCGCATTCGGATGTCAGAAGGCACAGAAACACATCATGTGGCTTGGCCAAGCAAGAAGAGGTGAAGCCTCAAGCTGTGCAAGCCGTCCTCGGTCTTGCTCTCCTCTATTACCATTTCACTTTCCCATCGCCGCTGGATGAGCACCTCGCTTCAACAACACGCACGCGTTTTTGCCTCATTCACGGCCCCCACTGGCACCACTCGGAGTCTACATGGCGTAATGCTTCGAAAGAACCTACCCTTGGAGGACAAACGGTAGGAACAGCACAGAGGCTGGCTGAGGCGACGGCTGTAAACTCTGCAAAGAAGAGATAGAGCGCCACGAGGACCTGATGCAGAGAACCCTTGTGAGCTCTTCCACACTGTCGACTGGATTCTGTTGCAACAGTAATTCGTCTGAGGCTCCAGGCAGTGAATATGGACACTAAGGCACCACTCAGCGTCGGTTCCGTGAGGTCCCGCGGCACCTGGAGAGCGAAGGCATCTATTTCTCGGGCGAGTCTGTGTCCGCATCCAATGCAGGCATGACCTTCCGGTACAGATCGAGCCGCGAGAGTGCCCTCATTGCCCCTGCACAGACACAGACGAAGAATGACTCGAAAGCTAGGAGGTTTGGATCGAAGGCACAATGACACAGGGCGAAAAGGCATTTGCTCCCAGGCCTCGTCACTCTTCAGCAAGGCAGCATGAGAAGCATGCTGGAAGGATTAAGATGTGGTGTTAGGTGATAGTGCTGGTGTTCTACGGCTGTTCAAGGCCTGGGTCAGGACGCTGCTTGACCACCCATGAAAAGCAATAACATGGCTCGTGAAGAACGCACTTAAACTGACATGCACCTGTTTAGGGCGGACTCAGATGCTCCTTGAAAGCTCGCACTGCAATAGCACGGGATCTAATTGTGCCTAAACGCGTGCTACGAGCAGGCCCTGCGAACAAGTGGAGTTACGGTGTTGCCTGGAAGCGGACTGGTCCGAATGTTCAATCTCACGATGCCCGCGTGGGCGCAAGCTCGGGCCGGAGAAGCTGCACCCAAATGCGCTGCGACTGCGACGGCAACGGTGACGACCACGCGTACAATACCAGGACCAAGACGACGAGAATCACCGTCACTGCAGTTTGACCTAATTTTCATGGTTTTGTTTCATCAGAATTCAAGCACCCTGGCACATCAGCGAGCTTTTGACGGGAAGGAGTCAGTACCCGCGCTTGCATCAGAATTGTGATGCTCGGTGCCTCTGAGCAGTACGCCTCCACTGTCTCAATGTCTATCTGCTCTCCCTGTTCCTCCTTCAGCACACTGGTCACTGAAAAGTCTTAGCGAGAGAACCAGCTTGGTCTCCTCAAACTCGGATGCGATGGTGGCGGCAGTCTTCCGCTGGCAGACTCGCATCAGCCATACCTGGCAAACCACAAGCTTTCTTCCAGAACTGAAACGGACATCTCAACTAATGTCAGGTGAAGCAAAAGACGCTTAGCACCCCCACACTTCTGCTGGCGCTGAGGAGCCACTGTTCTGCCCCTACCTGCTTCTTGAGGAAGAGCTGCCAATCTCCGTTGCCCTGTCTAAAGACATGTGGATCGTTCACACAGACAGAGATCCACGGAGATGGACCAACTTTCAACAGCCGTCACTATGCATAGAAAGCTGTCCAGGTGATGAGCCCACTGGAAATATGTAGAGACTGTCGACCGAGTCTCACATGCTACTGTGACACGAAGTTCCTGAAACTGTACCCCTCGTGCTTGTAAACAGCTAGGTGTGCCAATCTCATTCCAGTGACATTGAGAGAGAATTCCGATCCCACAGTCAAGCGGAGTAGCCTGGTTGTAACCACAGCCATTCACAACCACCTGGGCAACCAAAGCTGCGGGAAATCCGTATGCAAAGAACGGTAAGTCGATATGTTTGAGTGCACACTGCATAATCACAGCGCATGGCACTGAGATCTTCGCCCAATCACATGCATCAATCGTCAATGGATCCACTTGGGGCTTGCCTGATGAAGCGGCAAGCTGCGAAGCTGCGCTTGGGGACATTCCGTGCCTTTTGGTGATCGGTACTTGGCTGTCTTCATCACCGAGTGCTCAGCCTGACTCTGCATCCGATGTGTATCGAAGGGACGACTTCTGTAGCGTAGCGTCGTCTGGTAGCTGCCGCACCTAGAGGCCTCGTGAGAATGTCCGAATCACTTCTGAAAACCCTCCGCCACGCGCCTTCCTAGCTGCCCTAGCTCGAGGAAACCGAGCAGGACTGGAGCTGGGTCCACAAAGTCACAAACAAAGCCCGTCCGTGCTCAGCTCAGTATCTTGTCAGGTCGTCTCCTTGTTTGAATCCAAATGTGCTGTTCTTTGCTGCACTGGTCAAGTTCTCTATGGCTGCGGACGAAGGATTGCACGCTGCACCTGCGAAGCGACTTCTAACAACGTTCATGGGCCACCCAGTTAGCAATGATGGACAATCTGCAGAGATACCAGCGCTGTAGCACCTGATGAGCCCACAGCAAAGCACAGCAAAAGGTACCATCTCGCCGCGAGGTCGCATCATTCCAGGGGGGCAAATGCCCATCTGCATTATTTTTTAGAGTGAGGAATAGATTATCCCCTCTGTCCTGTCCACTTGGTGGCTCATGGGAGTGCCGGCCAGCAGGGACCGGTAGGGCGCTGAAAAAGATGGCATTGGCCTAGGGCGTCTGGGAAGCCTGGGAAGGCTTGACGATGGTTTGAAAAGACTGAGAAATCTCAGAAAACCTCCTGCAGTGAACTGAGAACCTGGAGTCTGCCTCCCGCTGCTCCGTTGCACGGGGCAACGAATTGCGGAAAGGCTCAGGTTGCGACCTCAGTTGCGATGCAATCGATTCAGCCAGTATCAGCAGCTTAACGGTTCAGGCATATCGCTCCCGCAGAAAGCTGGCTGTCTCTTCTGTAGATACTTCTCTGCACCGTCAAGAAAGTCCCGGTGTCCCAGCAAAGCAGTAGTCATCCTGTCAGGACTACAACACGTAAGACCGTGAGACAAGTTTCCACGTTCTTATGCAGCTCGGGCACAACAACCATTTTTATAGTAATGCCACCTGCAGGGAGAAATGCATGCTGTACTGCTCCTACAAGTAGTGGTACATGAGGCGAGACATCGGGAAAATCTGCAGGCCTATTCAACATGCTGAGCGTATGCGGATCCAAGAGCTTCAACCCCTTTCAACCCTTTTGCCTTCCTCTTCTGGCTTGAACACCTCACACAGCCGTGCCCACGTCTAGGACTCTGAAACCATGTGCAGTCTGTGGTCTGTAGATGTCTAGCCCGCGACTCTCCACAGTAATGAAACAGTGAGGCTGGACGGATGATGGCCTTGCGCACCGTCCATGTAAATTGGCGGTGGGCTTTGTGCTGAGCCTGCGCCAGGAAGGTAGGTTGACTGATGGTGACTGGCAGGACTGCGGCCAGGGGAGCAGTCGTAAAAAAACCTCTGGATGTAAGCTCTGTGCTGAGGGACGGCCGGTAGTCTTTGCTTGGCATTCAGAAGGACCGGAATGACTTACAGTTCACCAGAGTGCACGAGATCTTGGAGTTCAGACAGTGAGTTCACGCGAGCAAGACATTTGCAAAGACCACCAAATGTGTAAAACGTTCTGGTGCCGCGAAACAGTAAGGGTAGCAGAGGGCGGAACAAAGAAACGAACTCATACGAGTCATCCAGTTCATGCCGATACAAGCACATCTCCCAGTCTAACTCGACATGTTTTCTATCGTAGCCTGGCCCGTGGTTGCCGAATGATAACCCCACCAGGGGCCACCTTCTCGATGGCTTCCATGGCAATGGAAGCCGTGAATGCCCCCTGGAACTCAAGCTTGACCTTTGGTCGGACTAGGCGGCGCTCGCAGAGGGGAAAGAAAGAGCGTGCGAGAGAGAGACGGAGAGACAGGAAGCGGGAGAGACAGATGGACAGAAGAGAAAGAGCGAGCGAGCGAGCGAGCGAGCGTGTTCTTGGTTTTTCGGGGCTAAGCTCAGGGCCGTTCGCTTCAAATTGTTGCCGGCGACGTCCACAAACTTGCTCATAATCTCGAGGCAGGAACAAGCAAGGAAGAATTCGACTGAACTGACAGACTGTGTCATCCCTTGCTATTTTTGCCGTGCCTTGTTACTGCGTGGACACTGCAAAGCACTCCAGGGTCAGCACTGCGGATCCGAGCTTCGTAGAGTTCGTTGTCTTCGAAACCCGCATCTCCTGGCTACGCAGCTTCTGTGCTCGTCTCGAAGCCCAAATCCTAAGCCTATGACCTCGGCATCAGCATCCGCGACTGGCTGGAAGTGCTGGAGCACTCGCACCCTGGCCGTCATCAGGTGCACTTGCCGGTTATCGGCAGTGGTTCCTTGCAGCGAAGGCATGCAATCACTTGGCTTGGCCTCATTTTGCGATCACGCTGGCGCAGCAGAAACTGTGCCTGCACAGGGACCACAAGGTAAAGTCTGCTCGGTCTCGCAATGAAAGCTTGGGTTCGAACCGCAGGTCGAAACTCCTGGGGCATCTCCGCGATCGCATACCTGTCTTGACTTTGCCAAGAAGCTCGCATAAGCTTGCGGGTCAACCCAACTCAGCCGGCAGGTTCACTGAAAAGGTCGTGCTGCGCATACGACAAAGCTTCGTATGCTTTGCAGCTGCTCCTATGCAACAGTAACCTTCCGATGACTGGCTACTAAACTTTCTAAGCCTTGACTAGATAGGAAGCCAAATGTATCACTGCCGAGAGGGTGCAGCATGGTGCTCTTGTTCCGCGGCGAGAGAAGAACAAGATCTGCAGCCTCACGGGTCAAGGTTGGCAAGCGACGACTGTGTCAAGCTTCGGGCAGATCATCTTGTCAGCAAGGAGGCGGCAGCCTCCTTGCTCTGGGTTCCCTGGGTTCCCGGCCCTTTCTCCGGTGTTGAAAATCGCAACCATCGCCTCTGCTGCGCAGGAGACTTGCGAGTTGAAGCACTGAGCAAGCGCCGCACCTTCCGGCCCGGGCTCTTTCTTAAGACGTATCTTATGGCTTCTGCCGGTATTTCGAGGACTTGCCAGCCTCGTAAAAAATCTGGAACAGAACTAAATCTGGGGTCGTACAGCGGTTGTCGGCAACCAGCTGGCAGAGAGCTGAAGTGAGACATGGCCGCGGCCCTGTACAGTCCACATGATCGCCTCTGAACAAGGTGTGGCGGTATACTCTTCTTTGATCTGTTTCCCACAGTGCTAAGCTGATGTCAGGTTGGTTCTTTCGGGTACAGCTCCACCTGGCATCATGGGGTCTCACTTATCCTCAAACTGAGTCCTAGTCTTGATCCGCATGCTGTACATAGCAGGACCTCAACACCCATGCAAAATCTGATGTCCAGACGACATCAGTCTGGACTCGCAAGCTTTCACAACTTTGCGTATCCATGCTCCTCAGTCCGCTGCCTCTTCAAAGTGCTCACCACATCAAAGTCCCAATCGCCTCTGCCACCAGTGGCCTTCCAGTCGATGGTGACGGAACTTCCAGCTGGCAGCTTGTCTTCCAGGACTAGGGTGCTGAGACGTGAAACCAGATGCCGCTCCATGTAGCGCTTCAATGGCCGGGCACCCATTTCTGGGTCGTGAGCTGCCTTCAACACTCGGTCCACTGCTGCGTCGGTGATGTGCATGGTAACCTCCAGCTCGTCTAACCTGCGGACCACGTCGGCGAGCTGCAGTCGCACAACCTGGCGGAGAACGTCGCCGTTGAGAGGGCTGAAGACAATGACATCGTCCAGGCGATTCAAGAGCTCTGGTCTCAGGGATCGCCTGATGGTCTGCAGCACCATGGAGCGTGCCTTCTCCAGGGCAGGTCCGTGCCTGCCAGCATCTGCGGCCATAGCCATGAGGTGCTCAGAACCGAGGTTGCTAGTCATGATCACGACGCAGTTCGTGCAGTCCACCGTCCTGTGAGGAGTGAGCTGAGGCACTTAGCACGGGCAAAGAGCGGTGTGATGTTTGCTCTGAAGCACTGAAATGCAAAGTATCCTAGGTCCTGAACCTTGAAGGTTCTTGGTATCTTAATGCATCTTAAAGTGCATGCTCAAGCCACAGCCGGCTTGTGTCCATGTCAATGCATGCTCGCCGTCCTGCCGTGGCTGTCGGTGATCCGGCCATCGTCGAGCAACTGCAGGAGTACGTTGAGAACTTGTGGGTGAGCTTTCTCCATCTCATCGAAAAGGACCACACTGTAGGGATGCCGGCGCAGAGCCTCAGTTAGCTGGCCACCAGCTTCATGTCCCACGTAACCCGGAGGGGCACCGATGAGCCTCGAGACCGCATGCTGCTCCATGTACTCGGACATGTCGAATCTGATCATCCGCGCCTCGCTGTCAAAGAGCTCTGCGGCGAGAGCCTTTGCCAGCTCCGTCTTTCCCACGCCCGTAGGCCCGGCAAAGAGAAAGGAGCCCGTGGGCTGGTTTCGACGCGCGAGGCCGGCGGCGCTGCGCAGCACGGCGCGGGCCACAGCGGCAGCCGCCTCCTCCTGTCCGATGACTCGCTTCCTCAGCTCCCCCTCCAGACTCAGCAGCCGGGTCTTCTCCCCCTGTGAAAGTTTGGATACCGGAATGCCTGTCCAGCGCGAAACGACCTCGGCGATATGGCCGGGTGTCACGGTCTCCACTAGCAGTGGGCTCTCTGTCGCATCCTCCTGCTCTTTCTTCTTTGCCTCGAGCTCGCGGATGCGTTGCTGCACCCCTGGGATGGCATCATAGCGGAGATCTGCGGCGGCGTCGACATCGTGGCGTGCCTCCATGACCTCCAGCTTCCTCTTCAGATCCTGCAGCTTCTGCTTCGCCTTGCGCAAGTCATCGATGAGCTCTCGCTCCTGCTGGTAACGCGCCCGCAGCGGAGCAAGCTGCTCAGAGACGCTGGATAGCTCCTTCCGTGCCTCTGCTAGCCGTGTCTTGGAGCCCTGATCTTTCTCCTTGCTCAGCGCTTTAACCTCTACTTCGAGGTACTGTCGCCGGCGCTCCAGGCTATCGATGGCCTCGGGTTGAGAGCTCAGCTGCACACGGATCTTGGAGCAAGCTTCATCAAGAAGATCCACGGCCTTGTCGGGAAGAAATCGTGAAGTGATGTAGCGACTGGACAAAGTCGCAGCAGCGACGAGGGATGCATCCTGGATGCTCACGCCGTGGTGCGCTGCATACCTATCTTTCAAGCCCCGAAGGATGGTGATGGCAGTCTGCACCGACGGCTCTTCCACGTGGACCTGCTGGAAGCGTCTCTCCAAGGCAGCATCCTTCTCGATGTATTTTCGGTACTCGTCCACTGTCGTGGCCCCGATACACCGGAGCTCGCCACGAGCCAACATCGGCTTCAAGAGGTTTGCAGCATCCATGGCCCCGTCTGTCTTTCCTGCACCTATCAGCAGGTGGGCTTCATCGATGAAAAGCACAACCCGTCCCTCTGCATCCTTCACCTCCTGGAGCACAGCCTTTAGCCTCTCTTCGAATTCGCCTCGGTACTTGGCACCGCTGATCAGCGCACCCACATCAAGTGCGATGATGCGGCAGTCCTTCAGCGCTTCCGGAACGTCCCCAACCACCACACGTTGTGCCAAACCCTCTGCAATGGCTGTCTTTCCAACACCTGGATCTCCAACCAAGATGGGGTTGTTCTTGGTCCTGCGGGCTAGAACCTGCACCACCCGCCGGATCTCGTCATCGCGGCCGATGACCGGGTCGAGCTTGCCGTTCTCCGCATCGGCCACGAGGTCCCTTCCGTACTTCGACAACGCCTCGAAGTTCTCATCGGCAGTTTGGCTGTCCACTTTCCGTGATCCTCGGACTTCCTGTATGGCCTTCTCCACCGCCGAGATGCTGTAGCCTGCCGAGGACAAGACCTCTTTCAAGGACTTCTGCTTCAGCAGCGCGAGGAAGAGGTCGGGCAAGCTGAGATAGCTATCTCCGCCGGCCGTCCTCAGGCGCTCTGCTTCGGCAAGGACCCCACGCATGGCGTTGTTGGGAGAGATCTCCTCTGGCGCTGGGCTTTGCGAACTGAAGCTGCCCAGAAGCCTGTCGCAGCCCTTCACCACCTCTTGGCTGTCGCCATTCAAGCGGGAGAGCACTTGTGCTGGAAGGCTGCTCCGCTCTTTCACGAGGATGCTGAAGACATGAGCCGGGTCTAGTTGGAGATGACCCCTCTCCCGAGCCAAGCGAACGCCATCCTTGATCGCCTTTCCCGCCATCTCCGTGAAGTCACCTCCACCCGACATCTTGCGAACAAGCGAATTGAAACGGGCGCCTCAAGGCTGTTGATCGGAATCGAAACTGACGCGCAAAGATCTGAGCCAAAGTTGCTTCACAACATCCTCTTCTCCTTGGGCTTGCCTCGTGGTCGAGTCTTGGATTAGCACCGCTCTGCTTGCAGTCACGGCACACCCTTGAGCTTCTTGGCTAGTGATGAGCTGGTCACGTTCAGCTCCTCGTGCTAGAGAATGAGGCTCAACGACCGAAGTAACCCACGCTGGAAACCATACCCTTGTCCTGGAACAAGGGAGTCACTGATTCAGGCGCCGGAGCCTGCTGAGACACACGAGAGACTGCACTCAAAGTGTTCTCAGTGAGATCTTCCGCATCCTGAAACCTCCTCGGTGGAGGCCTCAGCCTCGGCTTCTTTGGTCTCGGGCTCTGTTGTCGCTGAGTCGCCTCCACTGTCACATTATGTCCTACATTTTTGTCACACATGTCTGCCACCCATGAGAACCAGATTCGGCCTTCTTCCTCGGCAAATCGAGGGATGTGACTCAGTGGGGTCCTTCGGATCTGTGATCGCACGTTGTAAGTATCTAACTGAACGCGTGTCACGAACGTCCTTGCTGCCGGCATGAGCCTCGAAGAAGACGAAACCCTCAGTTGACAACAGCGTGGACAGACCCAATCAACGGTGCGATGCTGCCTTCATTCATGAAAAGTGCCGTCGAGAATTCTGTCAGAACTTCAATTGCATGCTGCCCGCGGCAGTCTGCTCAGGACATGGCTGGACGAATAGAGTTCGCGTACGGAGCTGGCTTGCCGCCAGCACGATGCCCTCAGAAACACGCCATTGTTTGACAGAGTCTTGGGTCACTGGCCTTGTGTGCGAATTGCCGGGCATTGGTGCCGGCAGCTTCCCATGTGTGCTGACCGAATTTCCTGAGAAGCTGACCAAGATTGTCAGCAGGCGCGAACCTCGTCAGGTCCAAGGCATCCTACAGCTTGGTAACGGTTTAGGATTAGGGCAATGTGGCATATTGATATGTGCAAGCCTGGAGCAACCCAACAAAGATCTGTTGCCGATGCCTAGATTAAAGACATGTCTTTGGAGTGCAGTGGCGCTTGCAAGCGAAGTTTGTAACACAGCCTCATCTCAGGAGAGCATGGTGCCCCGGAAGGTCACGGAGACTTGACAGAGTCTCCGAAGGTGTGCTGGCCTGAAGGGTGTCTGCGGCCCGCCATCGGGCTTGCCTCATTGACGCAAGATTCGCACGCGATGCACATGCACTTAAGGCGAGCACGAGAGCGACAAACCAACGAGTGAGTCTAAGCAGTGTGCTGGGGTCGAAGCCTGTCGCCGCTGACGCGGGGGTCTCGACTCGGGTCGGTCTCCGTTGTGTGGTTGATCCCAAGTGCTGAAAATTGCAGCTGCTGTTGCTCCACGTTTTAGGCGCTGGAGGCTGCTAGTGGAAGCGATGCCGGTGAGAGATACAACCATGAAGCATGCTTTTGATCGTCTAGCTTCGAGCCGAAAGCAACAGTCGCAGCTGAGCTGCTGTCGGAATCCATCTTGTGTTCCTTGAGGCACTAGTTGAATTGGGAAGCCAGACAGGCAGAACGTCAAACCTAACGTGTCCCTTACTGCCGCCCAGATGTCAGAAACATACGGCCCGGAGGTCTTGTCTATGAAGTCACTGCTGGCATCTATGCCAGTGGGTAAACCCATTTCTCTCCGAAACCCTTAGCAGGCCTCCCCCTTGAATCCAGAATCCACTCTGCCCCTGGGCTTCGAGGTAACCCCAAGCTGCCAAGGCAGCCCCTGCCTCTTACAGACTCCACGAGCAACACTGCGTGCAGCCGGTGCAGCCGTATGCAATCAGCGGACGTTTCCAAAGGCAGATTCGACAGCTCTAGGAATTGCTCATGCAGTTTGCTCTACCACGCTGACGGTTCGACATAGACTCATATCCCGTTTCTGCGGCAGGCACGGAAGAGCAAAAAGCACTGCGCTCATCTCCCAGAATGCTGCACCCCAGCCCCCTCACTGCCATACCTAACAGGCCAAAGCAACTTTTGCTGCTGTTGGCATTCGGTGAGGCAGTGCGCATGGTGCCGATGTCATGAAAGCATTTTGTAGAGTGGAAGAGGGCAGGCGGGCACTCTCACCCCTGCAACTTCCAGCCTTGGTCCCCCAATCCCACCCCATCGCGGTTCCTTGGTGCCGTGGAGCGTTACACGAAGTACGACAACAACTGCCACGAATCAGAAGCCTGTTTTTGCAGCAAGCTGAGCTGAACACTCCGGAACCCATCGAAAATGCTGAACGCAACCTCGAATGTCCTCCGAGCAGGCCAGGCCATGTTAGATTTTGCTTTGCCATGGTAGGGCCCGCTTCCCCTCGTCTTGTATCCGGCAAGAGGGGCGAGGAGCTTTGGGGAGGTTCATTGCCGGGGAAGCCGAGGCTCGGAGACTGGGAACAAACACAGGGTTCAACATACCCCTCACTGAACTCCTAACCACTAGTTCCTAAGCAACAGAGCGTTTTTGCCATGCTGTCGTTCGTCATTGTCATACCGGCCTAGTCAACAATGACAGTCCCTTATCGTGGCACATCCGGAACCTAGGCTTACGGCCCACCTCCTTCTGTGGGGAGGCTCGCAGGCTTTGTCGATTGACATGCCTGACAATACACTTCACACATCTGTCATGAGGTGTAGCAGTGTAGCACCCATATACGACACGTAACATGACGCAGGAAAGACAGCAATGTTGTGGCATACTAGTAAGAAACAGCATATACTCTGTTGCGTAGATTGCTATCCATCCATACATGCATGCATAACATACTGATATGTTGATTTACATGCATGAATCTGTACATGCGTATACATATCTCTGTCTATGCATATCCCGGCACTTTCATGTACACATGTGTACTTGTGAAATCCTGTGAAGTACAATATACACATACGTATACAATCGTATACGCGTATGGGTTGTTCTCTAAATTAGGGTCCCTTTGTGGATCCCCAAGTTAGTACGGCACCCTTAAAGAAGGACTCTAAACGGGCCCACTTTAGAGAACTACCCATAGGTCATGCGTGTACAACGTACGCGTCTAGAAGCCAGGCCTGGAGCGACACTGGAGGCTTCACAGCCTCAAGCAAGCCCTCGCTGTCCAGAGGTGCTGGACCTAGCTTTCGGGACAATCTCAGTCTTGCACCAGGTCAAACGCGTTCATAACTTTTGATTTCAGAACTAGATGAAGCATGAAGAGACCGCTCGAAGCTCAAAAGAACGTTTCGACTCTCCTCGCCTCGACCCCCGAAGCGAGGAGCAAGGGCAGCCTGCTCCTCAACACTCCAGAAATGCTTCCAAGTGCTTCAGCCGCAGCCCAACTGTCAATGCACGAGACAAAGTCCAAGCTTTCAGGAATCCTCGAGCAGCGCGACACGTGCATCTAAACTCATCACCTGGGCCAGGCAGGAGGAAGGAGGGTGCGCCAGTCTTCCCTAAAACGCCTCAAGAAAAATGTCTGTGTGTCGAGCCTCGTTGTGGACGATCCGAACCTGCATGAACCGACGGCAGGTGTAGCAGCCGTTGCTCGAAGAGCTCGGGAGACTTTGCCGCCAGTGGGCTGCTGGGTTCTGCAAGAAATCTTTCCGCTTCACATCCAACTATGCTTTCAAGACGATGATTATGCTGGGGCCATGTTCATGATTACCCTGATGATGCTGCTCGTCGTGTTGCCGTTGTGGTATTGCGGCTGCAGTTGCTTCGTCACGCTACTGCCTAAACCTACATAAAGTACAATTGTTTTCCGGAGCCGAGTCTAACAATGTGTTTAAAAGTGTGGGAAACAGTGAAGCCCTGGAGAGACGCAGAGCTTCGAAGATTGAAACTGCTTAGTTAGCCGTTAGCCTTCTTATCGCGATATGCGTTTCCCCACACCTTTAAGCACATTGCCTGGGAACATCTCGACACACCTTTCTACAGTGCCTTGCAGAAGACGCTACTACTCTTTGACCACTGCCACACAAGGATCCTTCCCTCACGCTTCGGCCTCGTCGCGCAGGTGGGCTTGGAGTCGACCTACAGTACAGAAAGGTTCTAGAAGAGCACACCTCCGAAGTAGTGCTCAACAGCTATAATAATAATAATAATAAACTGAAATAAAGATACCGAAAGCTGATGCTGACAATCGCTAACCGCTCCCCAAGCAACCACCTTTAGCTTACAGCAGCAGACGGTCTTATAAGACAAGTGGTCGTAAGGTCGCGCCGCTTGCTAGGGCCGGTAAGATTTTATACCGGCCGAACTCAAGTGGGCATATGATACCCGCATGAC